GTTGATAATGGTACAAGAAGTTATGGGGATCATCTCTGGAAGCACTGAAACTGATCCTGTTGGTATTCTCTCTGGTAACTTGAGTTTGTAAATGTGAGAGTATCTGTTTTTTCTCAGCTCCAAAATTGTTGAAAGTAGAAACCTGTGTTTATGGAAGTTCTTACAACAGAGACCTGAATCATACAATTTACACTGAATTTATGGGTGCTGTCTTCTTTACTCAGCTGTCTCTTGTCGTAGGGGAAATGGGAAGATGCCCAGATTCCAAGGGAGTGTTGTCTGTTCTTATGAATCTCAGTGACAATTCCCTTGCACATAGTGGTTGTTGAGTGTAGACCTGAACCACAGTTTTTAGTTCTTTTGCTTGGAAGATATTTTCCTTCTAACCATCTACCATGTCTGTGTAGGTACCTGACTGCTGTGATGGGCATGAGAGCCTCCTTGAATTTAAAGTAGAAGTTGAGGAAAAGCTGTCTTCCTTCTGAATGGTCCATTGCTCATTTTAGTTGTTGATCTTATAGTTCTGATATGGTAGCATCATGAAGTGAGCTGGTTCTTTTCTGTATTGCTCTTATTCTTAAAGTGCAAGATGAAAACCGAGGTGGTGTTGGATAGTTTTAACCACAGCTTGGGAAAACTGTGAGCCTCAGCTGAGGAATCTGGAGCTCTGTTGCATGTAATACTTTCTGCTTAATCCTTGGTCAGAAAGTTGCCTTTGCAACCTCTACAACTAGAAACTTATAATACTAACTCTTTAGAAGTGTGCTGAATTGTTTTATCTAACACTATAGAGGTGGCTTAATAACTTCCCGAAGCAGAAAGGGAAAGTTTTACATTTTTTATGAGATTTAAGAAAAAAACACCAAACCAGCAGCTGTGTGCATAGAATCATAGAGTCTCTTAGGTTGGAAAAGACCTGTAAGATCAAGTCCAACCATTAACCTATCACTGCCAGGTCCGCAACTAAACTGTGTCCCTAAAATCTTCACATCACTGACTGTAATGGAGTAAATTTTTACACCTGCATGAGCGCAGACAGTAGGATGTTGTATGTATTATGCATATACATGACTGTCTGATGCTGTCCGCAGAATACACACAATATGCTGTTGGAAAAGTGTCTTCCATCCAAGTTCTGTCTGATAACATGTGGGGAAAAAAAAAAGCAATCCAACCTGTTCTTTAGTTGCTGGAACATATAAAAAACCAAATTAAGTTCTTCCCTGTAGGAAACATCTGTAATTCAAAATATGTTCAACTTCAGTTCTTACATATTTTTTCCCCTGTTTCTGTGGGTTCATCCTATAAAGCAGTAAGATAAACTGTAGAAATTACTACATACCAGCCACTGAAACTTGAAGTACATTGGGAGAGCAGAGTTGATTGCTAACCAGTATTTAAGTTCTAAGCCAGATGTGCAGAATAAACATGTCTTCTTGAAGTAGTTAAACTATAGTTGAAATACTATTTTCATGTGAGAGTTCTTGTTCCACGTGTTTCAGACAACTTCTTTACATTTATACACAATTCTTTAGTACATCTTCAAGAAAGAAGGTTTCTGTATGACTGTTTCATTAAGGTCAGTTTTTGTCATGATAAGAAGTAATTCTTACAATTCCGCTCTTCTTGAGCTTTGCTGAGTGATTTTCAGAGTAAAGGAGTATAGTTTTTAGAAAGTCTCAAAGGAATTTAATAAGGGATAATATGACAGATGCTCACAAATGGCTTCTTGAAAGTGTAGTGTGAACATAGAACCTTTACTTTCATTAGTCCTTTTGTGCTTTGTCTCCTTCAGCTTCCATTGTAATTCAGCTTGACTTTTAATTACCCATTAATGGAGCAATCAGTACAGTGGTACAACTGTTGATAATTCTAAAGTTGTTTCTGGTAATATTGTGAAACTAAATTGGACATAATGTAATTAATTTTGTCACCATATATATGTGATTTTTGTACTTTGCGGGATTTTGTTCAAAATTCAGTAAAGCAGTACATGTGATGGGTGGCATGCAAGTCTACAGACATACACTTGAGGTTGTTGGGACGCTGTCTGACATGAAAATCATGTCATAGATCAAACTTTCATTTTGTAACACTAAATCAGTGGGTAAATAGAGAGCTTCAAACATACATTAATTCATTAAAACTGTGTATCTACTGAAATCATGAACTGATTGATCAGTATGTGGACATGAATGATCAGTATGTGGGCAGACAAGATTATTGCTCCTTAGTACACAGGTTAATTCCTTATTGCTGTGTCTCTACCAATAACAATAAATTATTTCACTTTTCACAAGTGCACACCAAAATTGGAAAGGACAATAGGTTTGCCTAAAGAGTAAAACATATTGCAGCATATACCAGCCCAAGCTAAGTACTAAATGTTACATTGCTTCATGTATCTTTATAGGTGGGAAAAAAAAGATTCAATTGTGATCGCTTCTTAAAGAATGCAGTGAAAGTCTTGTAGAAAACTGAACTTAAGATGGGTATTTGGAAACTGATGTGCCTACACTTCCTTCACAGAACAGCTGCTCCTAGGTCACAGTTGTTTGACACTCACCTCTGGGCTTTGTAAAGATTTATGTGTTTGTAATAAGAGCTGATACTGTGCTGCAGTGATCCAGAACAGCAAAACAGCAGCCTGCTTTCAGGCACATGTCTTAATCTGTCAGATCTCTTTTCATGCACAGCTGATAGACCTGCTTATCTCGTTTGAAGCATGCAAACAAAAGTTCTGATAACGTATGAACCAGAAATTAACTCTCACACTAGTGAGGTGAAGGATGTGGAAATGTATTCTCTGATTATTTCTACCATACCAGCTTGCATGTAATATGATATTTTAACAGATAAAGTTAGTCAACTAAATCAACATCAGTAAAGCAGTTTCATGTCCTTCCAAAAACTTGTATACAACATTTTCTTTTAACTCTTATGAAAGCTTTAACAGTATTTAAGTCTTTAAGGAGGGTGTAGTTGCATGGACACAGGAGTCTGGTGTCCTCCTAGAGACAACAGGGTATGATGCCAATGCAAAAGGTTGTGTGTCACCTGCACAGGTCTTACTGTCATATCTGCCAGTGCCGTGGGGGTGTCTCAGAGACACTGTAGTCAATGCTACTTAAACTTTGCAGTATTAACAAGTTTAGGGGACCCCTGGTGGCCCAGTGGTTAGCATGCAGGACTCTCACTGCTGCAACTCCGGTTCAAATCCCAGGCCCCCCGGGCAGATGGACCCCGTTAGCCCTGTGAGGCCATCCATCTATGAGAAGGTCACTCTAAACAAACCTACGTCCTGAGGACCTCACTGCCATTGTCCAAGCTTGCTTGGCCCCAGCAGATGAACCTTAGGATTAAAGGGTGGGCTCAGTTCAGCGCAGGCTGTGTCTCACCTAAAAAAATCCATTGCGCAGGCTTGAAAGGTAAAAGACCTTTCCCAAAATCTTCGTTCGCGAAGACTGGCCATTATCATTATATCATTAACGAGTTTAGCATTGTGGGTTTTATTTACTTTTAAGCCAGCTGAAATACTGTGTGTTTTTAAACAATAGTTCAGTGAAAGAGACCGAAAAGGACACACTTCGGTGTTTCTGTAGTCAGGTTGTGCTGTATTTTTTTTGTTGCATACCACTTGAAAAAATACTCATACCAAGTTTTATTTTGCATAGTACAGCATCCATACAGAAGTAGCCTTCCATCTAGCTGCTGTGTGGTGCAAATACACGTTCTTCAAATGATAAATAAGGAATAACCTGCATGTCAATAATGGTTCAGTTTTTAGCTTGTAATTGATAGCGTTAAAACAGCTTATTTCCCAGTCCTTTCTTCATTCATTTGTTGCACAGATAGGTTATAGCACAGCCATATTTGTTTCTATTGTGTTTACATTTGTTGGTCAGTCCGCTAAATGGATATTTATGGGCTGCATTTCATAACACTGAACTTGTAGGTTCCTGTTCTGTGCTAGCACTGTGTACATGCATGCTCCTGTGTATACAGCTGTAGAGGGGTGTTGCTCCACCATCAGAAAAATCCCATTTCTTGTTTTCCCACCCTTTTTTGGATGAGCATAATTTGAATGCTTCTGTTTATTTTGAAGGATGGAGGGGAAAGGCAGTTTGCTGCCAAAAGGAAACCTCTCCTGCCCTCTGGCATCTATTCCTACTTGATTTTAGTGCTATTTATCTCTTCTTCACAGCTGTTAGGTACTCTGGGAATGTGGTGGTCAAAAGAGAGAGTTGTGGCTTCTGAGAGTGGTATGTCCTGTTCCAGGACTAACTTCCCTTCTGTGTCCTGCAAGCTGAGCTTTGTAGGGGAAAGAGCACTCCTGTCACTGCCTGACTTAAAGCTTTGAATGTATGCTCCTTCTTTTCATAAACTAAACATTGGTTTGGTTTTTTTCTGGTTTGTGTACTTGGACATTATGATGATTTTTTAAAAACTCCTGTAAGTTAAGGATTTGTATTGGCTATAAGGAAGTTATAGTGGAAGTAGGAAGAATGTTGTAATTCTGTAGCTTTTTTTTTTTTTTTTTTTTGGTTTTAAGCTTCTTTACAGGACTTTTCCTTCCACTTTCTTGCACTCTTGATATGATCAATGTACCCATAATAAAGGAACCACTTGTCCATTGCACAGATTCTGACAAATGTTAGAATGGGTAAAGCTCCTTTGTGTTCAGAGTGGATGAGTACTAGCAGCCTTTAATTTAAGAGCATCCTGTGCATTAGTGGGAGAGAATTTTGTTGTGCGCGTTTTATGAAAGTGCCATACGACTTACATTTTAACACATTCTGCTTCTTTTTAGTGTTGCAGTGTTCATGGAAAATGTACTGTAAGACTCAAAACTTGATTCTGTTATATGGTTAATTAAAAAAAAAGGCAGATTTTTAATGTGAGCTCAGTCAGTGAAATACATCAACAAAGACTTTTTTTGTTGGCTGTCAAGTGAGAAAAACAGAAAAGACTTAAATACTTTCTCTAATATTTCCTTCCAGGCTGACTCATCAGTAGAAATTGTGAAAAGCTGCAGAAAAGAAGCCAAACCGACAAGCTGATAACTCAAAGAAATACTCTTTTGAGTTGGGGGTTCAGAGTGGAGTCATCATGAGCGATGTTACCATTGTGAAGGAAGGCTGGGTACAGAAGAGGGGTAAGTTCTACCTTTTAATGGAAGGTTCTTCTGATGTATTGTACACTGTGAGCAATGGTATTACATGGCTACACATATGAACGCTCTTGATTTTTCTTTGGGTCTGTAGCAAGTTAATCTGACCATATGGAATTAGTGGCCATTAAGGCCTTGGTGTTGTCAATGCTTAACCCTCATCACTGCCTCTGTTCATAGGGGTAACTCACAGTGAAGAGGAAGTTGGACTCAGTAATTCCCACTTAACCTTGTTGTTACAGCTGCTGTTACCTGTGTATCAAACTAAATAGGTTGTTGTGGCAGCTGGAAGAGGTGGTAATACAGGTGCACAGTAGACGCTTGCCTGGAAGCTGCTGCAGATGTGATACTTGGTGTGAAATTTCCTACATGCCAAAGTCATTGTGTGTTTCAGCTTGTATTACAAATGCAAGTAGTCCCAATAAAATCCACATAGTACTTGCATAAAGCTCAGCATGCACCTAATTACTTCACAAACCTAGAAGTAATATGATTAAAGAATAAGCCAGTCTAAACTATGATTTTTTCTTAATTTTGAATTCCTGTGAATTCTTGAGATGTCACTTTATAATGTGTCCCCATGTGATTTACAAATTTGGGAACGTTGCTGTATGTTAAGCTTTGAATGGGAAACTTCTAGAAATATCTGGCATTTGTATCATGTAATGAATTTTGGATGAAATCTTCCATGCTTCATGCTGCTCTGCTTTAGGTTGCGGTTGCACATATGATTATTTCCAAAAGAACCATCTTCTCTCTCACAGAGAGAAGATGATCTGGATTTTAGGGTGACTTATGCCATGAGTTTCTGTGACTCTAGCCCAGAAAGATTTAGATTGAAGTAGTGGATACAAAATTACCCTTTAACTTACAAAGAAATGCTTTGTTTCAATAGCAGTGTGTGAAGACAAAGATCATTATTAGCTTTGTTATTGCAGATTGACATTAAATGTCAAAGAAGCCAAGAGAGTTAGAGAATAAGTTGATTATTCTTTTATTGTTCCTGCATAAATTGTATTTCAGGTTGCATTGTGGGTATTGTAGATGAAAATGAGCTAAACTATGTGAAGCTTAAGGCCTACTTCTTATTTTGGAGTATATGCTTATATTTATAACAAAATTTTACGTGGCAGGAACTATATAAAATTTTAAATTATTTTTCCTTCCTATCTTGTTGTTGTTTACTCAGTTTGGGGATCTAATTTCATTTTTCAATTATTTCATATAGTTTCTTTCAAATAAGTTTCTTTCAAATAACTAGAATGCTCCAAATAATTTCCTTTTACGTGACATCCATTCCTTCATGTCTTATCGCTTCTTCTTATTATACACTGGTATCAACTCTGTGAGCACTGGATATGCATATATTAATCACCAGGGGCCAGAAAAGGACAATGTACAATGAAACTCAATGTCTTAATATTTGAAATTCTGAAATGTAAAATAAAAGTTTTTCTCCTCATGCTGTTTTACTGTCTATTAAATTGAAGAAAAGCCCACTGAGTTGGCATTTTGATGTTAGTTTTGTTAGTAATTGTTTTCTTTTCTAATTAAAGACATTTCTTGAAATGCATTTTTCCTTATCTTAAATAATTGTGAGTGAATTTATGGTTGTGGTTTTTTGTGTGGTTTTTTTTTTTTTAAATTTCTTGCAATAGATAACTGTAGGTTTTTAATGTTTTATTTTTTTTAATTAGATCTAATATTGTCCTTAATTTTCTGTGTCTGACTTATTCTGGTTGTTAGTGGGTTAAAGTGTTTGTTTTGATTGTTTCTGAAAACAAAAGGAAAAGTGCAGTGTGTTTTACAATGTCAAGAATTTGTAAGCATTTAATTCAATGGTTATACATTTCATGTAATTACAACTTTGACCTTGCTCTGGAGCAAGAGAATCAAAGTTGTTAAGTGCATTTTTTAAATGTTACCAAGACAAAGTATCTAACTTTAATCTTAATTCTTAAAATTGGAATATGCTCAGTAGACACTTCTATTTTGGCAGCTACATATTCTCTCTGTGTACTAAGAAGCATCATGGGATTGGGTAAAGCTGCCTTGCTTCCATAAGCTAACATGCTATTACAGTTTTAAAGTGAATTCTCTGATCATCAGCACTTGATACTCATTGGCTCAGTTCCCAGGGTTATTTTGGTAGGTACAAACTTGGTTCCACCTGAAGGAAGGGGAGCATGGGATCTCTTCTCCAGGCAGATACCAAGTGAACTCCAGCCCCAGTGACCAGTCCTTTGGACTGCCCTGAACCACATATGGTGCACCATTCAATCTGAGACTCCAGACTGAATTTACCTTGAAATAAATCTTGTGAACAGTGGCAGTGAGGTCCTCAGGACGTAGGTTTGTTTAGAGTGACCTTCTCATAGATGGATGGCCTCAAGACTGGCCATTATTATTAAATCTTGTGAACCCTACTTGCTGGGAACATAGGGACACCTGGCCAACAGCTGCTTCAGTTGACTGATCTGTTTCTATTTTGCCAAATTACTTGGTTGTGTGGATATAGCCTTGGACCTTTTAAAATTGTCACTTTCAGCAGTCAGAATGGTTTGTGATACAAGAAAAAAACTCAATCCCTCTTTGTGATTCACAGCCCAGTCAAGGAGTATTAGGATGGCTTGCAAGTATGGGGATGAAGAATGGTTCTGAGGAACTGTCTAATGAGATAGGTCATTACAAAGGCAAGTTAAGCGAACTGAATGTAGGAATGAGAGGGGAGGACTAAAAGTTGAGCTGGGAATCTCTCTCTGAATCGAGATTCTGCTAGAGAGAGGCTAGAGAAGATAGGGTATGTTAGGGCACTGCGATACAATTCTTAATGTCTGTGAAATGCACTAAGAAGATGTTTACTTTATTATCCTTAGTGCCGTATACATGCCAGTAATAGAGGGCTGAGGGCTGTATGTTTGTAGGCTTTTAACCCTGCTATTGAGCACTGAAGAATCCTATGTGATGCTACACAGTTGGCTTCAAAACCCTGTTTTTCTGTGTATGCTTAAATGAGGAACCCATTGAGGTATTACTGTTTTACTCAATGTTAAGAAAATGCCAGAGTTAAATTGATTTATGATCATAGTTGGGCTTTGAGTAGTCTTTAGGGAAAGATGTTTCAGTGTGATGAGACAAGATGATACTGAGGAAGAGTATACTGTTATGTGTGAAAGGTCAAATGGGCAGAAATGACAGGCTGGAGGTGAGAACTTTGGACAACAGAGGACAGAGAACCCAAAAGGAAGCAATGCCTGAGAAGCTTGGTGAACCTCAGTTGCAGTCAGGTCTCATCTCACAGATGAAAGGAGACCCTGAAGCACAGTGGCTGGACCTCCCTGAGCAAGTAATGCAGCCCAGTGAGAGCAGATTCAGAGAATGAAATAATTGGTAATAAGAATTTGATACCTATCAACAGTCAATGTGTTTGCAAAGTGAAGTGGGTGTTACTTTGGACCGTCTCCTGTCTGCTCCTGTGCCCCTTTGGCACTGGTAGTGCTCCTGGAGTGCATCATGTGACTTTTAATTTCATCTGGAAGGAACCAGGTTTGTGCACTCTGGAACTGTTTCATGCAGCAACTGGAAGTGCATTAACTATGGTGATGGGAAGATTTGTTGCACAAGTGCTCTCCTTATCTGAACTAAAGTGTTAATTCAGATGTACCCTGTGAGACGTTAGAACTTGTACAAGTGGAGAGCCAGTGGAGCAGTCTCCTTAGAGCTGAGTCTCTGCTCACGCAGGAGAGGAGTAGGAATGTGTTTTATATGGATGGTTTTATGGTTGTAACTTTACAGTCTTAGATCTAGTGATAAGAACCAAGTATCTCATGGCCTGTGTCCATGTGCGCTGCTGCAAAGATAGTCTTGCAGTTCACCATCTCAGTGAGGTTAATAATTTTTCTTTTTTTCTATTCTCCCCTTATTCTTGTAGCCTGATAGGAGAGAGATGGGTTGTCTTCCTTTACGAGTTTACTTTTTAGATGACACTAACATTTTTCATTGTAATGCATACAGATGAAAGGGAAGTGACTTTGACTAAAAATCCTAAATACAGTGACCTGAACCTTGCTGGTGAGACGCAGAAATTAAACATTTGGCATTTATGCAGTTAGTGTAAGCACTCTGCAGTAATTGCTGACATGACTTTTACATTTTGGATTTGCTTATAAGTGCAATGTTTTGCAGTGTTTTGTTTTTTTTTTTTATATTATTGTAAGAGCTAGTATTTTTAATTTTACTTAACATGCTTTCACTGTATTTACTAATTTAAATTTAGTGTTTTATTAGGGGGATATATTTTTAATTTATCAATTTGGAAACAGCTGGTTTTTTACATGGATGAACATGCTTAGTATGATTAAGTTATGTCATTACAAAAGAGAATTTTATGCATATAATTCAGCTGGTATTTTTTTCTTTAAAACCAAAGTTTCCCAAGTTGTAGAGTTGACCTTGTCTGTGGTCTATAATAGTCACAACAATTAGATTTAAGAATCATTAATAATTATGGTTAATTGCAACCTAATTTCTTTATATATAAACTGTGCACAGGACTTCAATTAATTTAAACATATGAAAAGGTTTAAGAGTCTTCGTTATCGTGTTATTGAAAGATCATTTGGGACAAAGGAAAAATTGACAAAGATGCTAACTTTTTAAAGGACCCAGTTTTAAATTTAATGTGTCAACTAACTTTTTCTTTAATTGAAAGAGTAAGGTTTTTTGGGAGGACATACCTAGTGTGTGTTGCATAACAAGATGGCTAAATCATTATTTAAAGATGAAGCAAAATGGTGTCTGTTTAAGTTAATACTTGTGTTGTCATACTTCAATTACCATACCTCTGTTTGGGCTTCTCTGTTCCAGTGTGTTACACTAGATAATGCTGTTTGTTGTGGCAATCTTTGCATGGACTACATCATATATTTTTACCCAAATTTTATTGAATAGATAATGTATCTGACTTGGGTTTGGGGGTGAATTTA